CATTGAATTTTATTCTTATCAGCAAATGCTTCCTCTGTCAATTTGTTATTCAATATTTTATAGCTGATAATATCTGAAAAAGATGCTTGCACATTCTTTAAAATCTTGAAGTTGTTTCTAACTGAAGCTGAAACTTGAAACTATGGCAACCATGAGTGAAATAGCAAAACACTTGAGAGACAGCTATTTCTTAATGATGTGTTGAGCCTTTCAGTTCATCAGTTCTAAAGACAACATTTCTCTAGACCCGTCAAGGTTATAAATATTTCCTCATTATTTACGAAATTTTTTTCTCAGGGTTTTCTCTTACCATAATCATAAGCTTCCTAGATATCTGAAGTTTCATTCAGGTAATAGATACTTTAAAATCAATTTTCTTTGGTTCCTAAAGTAAAAACATACAGATTTTTTTTTTCTTTTTAATACACCGAAAGCTATGTGGGAGCAATATACCATGAAATTCAACTTTGAATAATATATAGCATTACTTTTTTTTTATTAACAGTATTCATGTTGTTCTTTAAATGCAGATAGTTTAATTCAAATAGTTGGTACATTTTGCTTTTTGCCATTTAAGTCTATCAGATAAGTGGTCAGGTTATAGATATAAAGACATATCATGCATGCATGGGGTAGCTCAATTTGTGTGTATTCAAGCTCAACATTTGCTAATATTCCATTAAGCCTTCTGGCTTTTACAAATAGATCCTTTCATGGATCTATTCCAAGTTGAAATCAGTCGAACATTTTAACTTCTTGACATAAGCAATGCTTATAGTCTCCATATTTAAATCCAAAATTGCTAATAAGTAACTTTTAAACATTAGTTTACAGAAAACCATGAAAACTCCTAAGTTTCTCTCTCTTTTTTTTTTTTTTCTTTTTTTTGTGTGTGTGTGTGTAGAAGCAGATGGGAAAATGCCCTGTTAAAACTGTATTAAAATTATTATAATTTCAGTACTATACACAATATTGGAATTTGGGCTAAATCCCTGTTATTTTATACAGATAGTTTACAGCTCATGTAATAAACAGATATAATATCTCTGACTCACTTTCAAAGTGTTGGTATAAAAAGATAAATATGGGGCCCTCCCTGGTGGCATAGAACTAAGAAGCTTAAGCCACTTCGTCATGAGTTCGATCCCTGCCTGCCCGGGAGGAGATCCACATGGCGTGGCAGACCTCTCCTGACCCGCCCACTGCTCCCCTCAGCAGTGTACTTCGTTAATCTGCCTGTT